TATCTCATCTCAAACTTGACAACGGAAAGAGACCTTAGATTCGACTTTAAAGATGTTTTTAGAAAACTAAGAAAGGTTTCATGTGGGTTAAAGGATGTGAAGCAGCGCAAGGAAAGAATTTGCAACCTGTGTTTTGAGCGGGAAATCATACTGGTGAGGTTGTTATTGAAAAGTGATTCTTGGTATTTTGCAATTTCTAATAAACTTGCAAAGTAACGATACTCAGAGCTAAAGCTTTTCCAAACGGAAGAAATTACTATAATTCAAGTTCGTGGAGAAAGGGTCTCGAGTGAAATAGACTGGAAATAGAAAGAGAGAGAGAGAGACCAAAGAGAGAAATAACTTAAAAGGTGTGGAGCCAGTCGAGAAAAACGCGAAATGGGGTTTGATAGGGCGAAGAATAGGCAGAACACAGCGAGGGGAAGACGATAGAGAACAAGAAAAGGCTAAAGTAGAATGACGAATATCTAACAAAGACCAACGTGAGAAGGCAATACAAAGAGCTACAGAAAACAGACTGAAAAGAGGTCAACAACAAAGAGAAAGCGAACTACGCTTGTAGCGAAAACGAAGATCCCCGAAAACTAAGACCGAAGACCTAAGAAAAGACCCCTTCATGACCTTTAGACTTGAAGTTTGCGTCACGCTCTGTAGCTTCACCGAATAAAACCTGTGAAAAGATTGACAACCTCTCTGTTCGCAGCGTGAGAAAGCGTGATCATACGTTATTAATCAAGCTAAAGCGAAATCGCCGACAATAGGCCACTTCTGACTTCTCGCGGTTCAGTAATCTGGTGTCGAAATTACGGTGCGCAGAGGAGGCTAAGTGCGAAGTAACTTTCATCGGTAAAAGAATGAAGTGCCGTGGTGGTGAAAATGACAAAAGAGTTCTCTGAATTCAGTGTGAGAGAGTGAAATTTTTTGTGGGAGAGATGCATCAACTAAGTGATGGCGGTAAAGGAAAGAAAAACGCAGTGAATTTAAATGTAAAAAGATAAAACGAAAGTGTTGCAGACTTCTCTTTCCAGATTCAGATCAGCATGTGTCAGTAAACTACTTAAAATATCTGTGTGTGCCAGCCAATGACAGTTAATAGATATGCCATATATTTGCAGTTGGCATACAAATATCAACTGCGACGTAAGTAAAATTTTTCTCGTTGATTCAGGTTCTTGCAAGCGAAGAACTCACCCATAAAAACCTCGATGTTGATGACACGGAGAGTGCTTGAAAACAAAGTAAAGAAAAGGATAAACCGTTGAAAGGGGAAAACAAGATTCATTTGAACATACTTCCTTCTGCCTTGACTTTCTGGATATTTTCATCCTCTTGTTTTAGGCTTTCACCAAGCTCATTAGTTGCAGTAATAGCAAACTGATACACCTTTCCTCTCTCCAATGTTATTTTCAATTCTCTCACAGAAACATCTCTGATTTTCTTTATTTCTGTCCACCGTCCCACTTTTCCATCAGTCACTACTCTTTGGTACACTGTATACATGATAATAACTTTTCCATTACTTTCTGGCTCCTTCCACTTTAAGGTAATTGTATCGTCTGTTGTTTCACCTGGCAGTTCGTCTACTTCCACCACATCCGGGGCTCCTAGAATGATGTCAACGACACGAACGGCGTGAAATTTCTAATAATTATACAACTTCTTGTTACAAACCTGGTCACAACCATTATCAGTGATTAAATAATCTGTAAATTGGTCGAGGATTTTTTGGGATGTTTTTGAGACGAAAGTGTATGGCAAGCAAAATTAAGTTAAATATTGAGATGAATTCAAAATAATTTGAAAGGACAAAAAGTGATACTGAGAAGCCTAACATGATGGTCGGTTATTGCCTAAAGCAAATACTGCATTTAGAAGGTGATACAATGACTTCTACTGGCATTTAACTGAAATGAAGGACCGATGCATATACGACGTCGCAATTCACCATTCGTTTGTGTCACGTAGTTACAGAAAGGATCTCAGTTCGTGTGCAACTACTTTCTGCTTTTGAAAAGTTTGACATCGCGCATGACTTAGTACAGGCACTCTGCAATGACGCAGCGGAAAAATGAGTGCGCATGCTCCGCTTCTCGAGCCATTTGAGCGTCCAGGCCTACGATTCTTCTTCTGCAAACATAAGCTGGCGCGGGTTTTTCCGCCGAGACAACAAGCTTTTTTCTTCAGGAGGTTTGCCAACCGAGAAGGCTATGAGAAGAAGCGCTAAAGCGATAACAGGTGCGACGAACTTCATTGCCATGTTTCACATGTTCAACTTCAGTTACTAAGTTCACACCTGTTACCACAATAGTTTTTTTGTTGAGTGAGATATGTGCCGGATGTGATTCGAAAGAAACTCTCTTGAAAACGGCAACCTTAATTGTTTTGGTTTGGCTTATCCCTGCGAAATAAAATTAAGCTATTTTTCATTTTAAAGAAAATATACGAAGGATTCTTTGAGGCCGTGCACACACTGTTTGACGAGACTTCCCCATAATATTTGCATATTAAAAGCGATTTTCATGAAAGGCCTATTTCTTCAAACTTCAATTCTTTAGTCAAACGATGTGTGGAAATTGTCTCACTTCCTAAAGGGATAGTTGGTTATTGGGCCTTTTGAATATGGCCAGTACGAGTTTAGGAAAAATGTATCCAACTATCCTAAAGGTCACTATGCAGCGGCTGTTGTTGTTGCTGATTCATATTACAGATTTTGAAACATGAACATCAGGAAATAAATATAACTGGCCACTAAGGAGGGGACAAACGCTGAAAATCGAAAATCTTATAATGCGGCAAGCAGATAACATTGTTAAAACTGGGTTACTCACAACAAATCTAAGTTGGCGAAAAAATGATTGGTGGAAAGTGCTCAGTCACGATATCACTTTTGATTCCTCACCTTCAAACTTGGTCTTAATGTTCCATACAGTAGGATCTCCCTCGAACACAAAATTTCTGGAAAACAGTTTCACTGTGTAGTTGGTATCTTTCTCCAAACCACGAAACGAATAACTTGTCGTCCCAGGATCGGTGATATTAACCTTTTTTATCTCAGTTTCATCCTTTTGTAAGATCATTTGGAATCCTATAATCTGACTTCCTCCATCATCAGCTGGTGCAGTCCATTGTATTGTTATAGAAGTTGCTTGAATGACTGATTCTGATTTGATGGATGCTTTCCCTGGTTTCTCTACATAGTGCCATAAGAGAAGAGATTATTTTGAGTTTTGTCACAACACTAAGGATGAATGCAAGTCCACGTCTTCTCACAGTTTATTATTCAACTTTCATACACTGTTCGAATTCCGATTTTCTGATTAGATGATTTGTACCACGTGATACTGGATTGTGACGAAACTACCTCCTTGACATCGTCTTCGTGCTGTAATGGCCGTGGTGCAAATTCAACACACTGTTGTCATTACACCATGGCTTGGTTTACCTTGTATATAGTGGTTTCACTGCAGTGTTTCTTTGTGCAGTGTATTCAGTTTGAATAATAAAAATGTTAACGCACTTATGGCTCGTGAATTATCAGGATTTACCTGTACTCGTTCACAAACAATGAACTCGGAATATTCAATACCGCACGAGGCTTTGAAATTTCTCGTTCATTGTCAGTGAACTCGTGCAGGTAAATCCCCATAGTTCACTCGCTGAGTGCGTTAACCTGTAATTAATGAATATAAATGTAGCTACCGGATAAATTCAGCCAAGGGTTAATAAAAAGAAGAACAATTGATAGTCCATGGTTGAGGAAGTTTCCTAAGGATACTCGCATGTGAAGATGTCATCAATCTGCCTGAAGTTCAATGCTCTTTTGTAACGTGTTTAATGCTACCAAAGGGCAAGGTGTCGACAGTTTACTTTAAATCTTTTTCACAAATATGGGTGCATTTCCAACTAAAAGATCAGGCTAACTATATCCGGTATAATTCCAGTAATATTCTGTTATACCTCATTGGGGCAACGAAGGCGAAAAATATGTGAAGGTCTAATGCTGCTAAAGAGGGAAAAAATGCGAATGGAACGCTCAGATAAGGCCGTAAGATGTATGTCGAAAACTAAGCGGACAAATTTTTAGTAAATGAAAGAATGATAAATCCCTTACTCGATGGTTTAACATAAGCTTATTTTTTTCCACACGCCTATGGGCCTTGCAAAATATCCGCACGTATTAAATGTTAAACTATCGAATGAGATGTACAAAGTGAATAAGTTACTCTGTCCAATACTTTGTAAGAAAATTTGGCTTTTACTTCTAATACACCTGAAACAGTGATAATGAGCAAAGGCAAAAGAAAATGCTGACCTTATATATAGTTTTCTTTTTCATAAAAATACACTGATCTCATTGACTTACTTATCTGAGTTATCTTTATTAATTTCTCATCAGATGGAATAAGTCCATTGGCAGCAATGCACTTGTAATGACCAAAATCTTGATCACCCCTGAGTGGCACTTGTACTTTGTTTTCTCTGGCTGTGACTCTGTTTATTTCACTTCCTTCAGGTTTGTACCAAGAGAGTGTTGGTGTAGGAACACCATCAGAAAGACACTTCAAAGTCACTGTCTGGCCAATCCAAGACTTCTTAGATGACGTGGTGACATTTCGAATCGTGGGCGGGTCTAAGAATAAATGTCAATGCAATAAGCAATTGAATAAATAATCGGTGATACTTCATATCAATCAGAACATTAATGATCTTTATCATTCCACTGCTGTGTCATTTTACCAAACAAAATAACGAAAACGGCAAAATATGCCACAGTATTACACTTTAGAACAAGCCAAAAATACGTAGCAACACATTGGCCGCCCTGAACGATCCAAACTTTAATTTTTTTGTTTAACTTTTTAAATTTGACTGCTAAAGTAGCGAACTTTTAAGCAAGAAAGAACACCTTATACGACCGATACGATACACAGATAAGGCCGTAGGATGTAATTCGCATACTAAAATTAAAACACTGATAACTGAAAATAATAGTGGAATAATAAATCAATTATTCGAGAGTTTAACACATAATACGAGCGGAAATTTTGCTCATTACTCATATTTTCTCTCGCCTCTCAGGGCTCGGAAAAATTACTTCGCAACCAAAATAAGGTGTATTTATTTTTTTCTTAGAGGGCACGCTAACGAATCCTGCAATCTGATGGTTTCTTAGCGCGGTCCGTATTTTCCTATCTCTGCCTAAGGGCATAGCAACACTTATCGCGAGATGCAGAGTCATCCGTACCTTCGTTGCCATTCTTCATAAATAAATTTCGTTTAGCTAGCTGGGCATTATTTTTTAAGCAAAGCCGTGGGTCACGAAATGGGTTGACTTGCGGCCTAAAAACCGTTTGTAATTAATTTTAATCCTTCACAAAAAGTTAAAACGTGAGGTATCTGTTTTAAATTGAATTAATCAATGGGACTTGCACTGATTCAATAGCGGAGCGCGGAAAACACGCAGCGTAGACTATACTAATTAAAAAAATAATAGTTGCAACAGTAACCCATCAAGTCGGAAAAATTTGATCGTACAACCAAAATGAGGGTTGTCCAGTACACCCAAACCGCCACCATTCGTTAAAGACAGTTGGCGAATCGTTCTACCGGAAATCTGATAAACCATCTCTCATTAGATGGAAATGCATACCGGAAGTCAATTTGTAAGACACTTAGAAAATATCGCAAGTAGCTATTAAATGGGGGTTGAAGATTTTGTCAAATCGACTCGATTCGACCGACTCTTCTCAGTTAAAGTCGACCTGTCACACCGGAAGTTGATTTGCAAGGCACTTAGAAAATATTCCGCAAGTAACTACTGAGGGTCGTTGAGAATGTTGTCGAATGAATGACTCGTCTCAGTTGATGTCGACTTAAGACACATGAGTTCAGTTGCGATTAATAGCCGTACTTACCACAATTATTAATCGTGATAGAAGATGTCTTGAGGCTATTAATCGGAAGATATGCCATTTGCGATAAATAATCGTAATTTAAGGACTTCAAGACAAGTAATCGTGAAATTTCACTCCAGAACTAAAAAAAATCCGGAAATTTATAAATACCTGTTTACACTAGTTGCCAGATTAAGCAACATAGGCTTGAATACTATGGTAAAACAGCTCATAACTTACATTTCTAGGAAGGGCAACCTTTAGTCTCTGTTTTCATAGACATGCAAATTCGTCAAAACTCGGAAATCTTCAGTGCCCCCCTCTTTTGGAACAACTGGCTGCAAGTCCACGTGGTCTTTGAGCAATAATGAACGACTTGATAAAAAGAGGTGTGCGTTAGCGAAGGGGAACATCCATCGGCCTCGAAGTGCAAATCAGAGTCCTGCCTCTCCAGTACCAAAACAATGGGAAAAGTGTATTTTCAATCCAAAAAACAAGGTGTGGCTCGAATTATTTAGTTCAGCATGTTTTATTTAACCGTTAAGTTCTAGTTTTGTTTCCGGCAAATTATATAGAGAATAATACATGGGCGCGCGTAGATATGGAAAGCTTCATATCTTTCTTTTGGAAGTGTCACGCCAAGCTTATTAGCATCTTTCCCACTCTAAAGAATTTAATTTTCTCCTTTCCCATTTGTCCCTTGCAGCGTGACATTAACAAAATGTAAGGGAGCCATTTTAAAATTTGGCGCTCCTGCTATAATTACCTCACCCAAGGTGATTACAGCGAGATATGACGCACTCCTCTACCAATGAGAGTGCGTGCATCTCTATAATCACCCAAGCAATTATACTAAAAACATATATATCAATAGCAGACAGGAGGGTCATAAGTTTCTCGTTTTGAAACATAAATGTTGTTTAGGCTGGTCTTAACAGAGGAAAAACAGTGGATTGTTTTTATACTAGATAGTAACAAGTTCCAAAGTTCAGCATTTCTAATGAAATATGATTTTCTGTAATAATCTTGATTATGTCCGTAGATTAAGTTATCATCATTAATGTCAAATTTACGTGTACGATGACATGGCTCAAAGTATGCAAGTACATGTATTCCCTTACATCGATAGATGTAAGACCATTCCTGGACTTAAAAATAGAAGCAGGTCTGACATCTCTCGACAAAAATCACGAGGCGGTAGTGGAAATTACTGTTTTAACTCACTTTCCCTTGTAAAGAGGCAGATATTGAATATGGCTTGTTAAAAAGGTTGTCACAGAGCATCAGTAACAATAGACTTGTACTTGCACAAGTGCAACCCTGATGCCAAAATGTGATTGGTGGGAGCAACAAACCCTTATGCTGCGATCTCGTTGCAATTGGCTTGGGCGAAATGGCATTTCTGGATATTTACGTCGTTTTTGTTTGCTTGTTTTTTTTCTTTAAAGGAAATGTTTTATATATGTGGTATAATCCAAGGGTATCCGCCGCTTTCGCCCCCTATCGAGTTCGCCCCTACCTTATACCGTGTGCATGTCTGGTGTCATTTTGATGGGTGAGTTCAAAATCTAAAGATTAGCACAACGTCCATGCTTGCTTTTTACCTGCTCCTAACAACAGAGGTCAAATGCCTGCGCATATGTAAACGCGGAACAATGAATGAGTTGGCAATCATCGGATCCTTGCGTTTGCGCACAGATTTCTGGGATCGTCACGTGGCAGATATTGTAACCCGCTATAAAGGAACGTATGGCGAAAGGTTTGTGTGGACGTCCAAAAAATGCGATTTTGGTAAGAGATTATGGCTTTTTCGCAGCAGTTTTATCATACATGGTGAAAGATAATGTTGTTACCTTGGAAGTTAAGGTTTTTGCTGGAATTAACACGGAATATGTTATAAAAAATACAGAAAACTTCTCTCCTTACGTAAGGTCTATTGTGAAATCGTCATCGTGTAATGGTCTCAAAGTATTACAAAATTACCCAGAAATCGCTACGAAATAACACTTTTAAAAGTATTTTCAGTTGTATTTATACATGCACGGCCTATTTTTATACTTTCTAACGTATTTGATAGACAAATTACGTTTTAAAATATACTTCCTCAAAGGAGAGAAGTCGTTGTCAGCGGAGATGGAAATTATTTTTACCGAGCTAATGCTCACTGAAAAGATAAAATGAGCGATGAAAAAAACATGAGGAAATCCCCAGTTCAAGCGATAGATTGTTTGAGAAAAATCCAAAGGTCTTTGAGCCGCAATTTTTTCTTCTCGAACTCCCTGAAGGATCTTGTCAGGAAAGCAAGATCACGGGAACTCCGGCAGAAACTGTGGACGTATCATCAGCTGTGCATCGCTCCTTAAGAGACCAATTTGTATCACTCATCGCCACAGAAGAAAGGGTACAGTCTTGAGCCAATCATCAACGCTGATTCGTTCTCATTGATCACAACAAAGAAGTGTAGGTATTTTATCACTTTAATGTACCAGGGTAATATTTAATGCTCACGCACGCCATTTCAATCTCCTGCTGCCTCAAGGTAGCTTTTATAGCGCTCTTTCGTATTACTAAGCCAAGCTAGAAATAGACTTAACTCACGCACAAAAAACTGACACGGCTTAGTTGAGTTATTCCTTGGCGATTCATATGGTTTTTCTAAATTTGGAAACCATTACGCAATGTCAAATTCACAATAAACCTTGCGCGTGGAGACAAGTTAATAGGTAGATTTTACTACACATTACATAGTTTTCCAAACAAAAACTTACTCTTCCCTTGAATCAGCATTACCCTAGTCCACTTCTGATAAAGGAACGGCGAAAAAACGATAATCTCTCTCTAAAATCTTTTTTCAGACGTCAGAAAAACCTTTCGCCATACAATTCCTTCCAGTGAGTTGCAATGTTTGCCCCGTGGCGATCCCAGAAATCTATGCGCAAACACAAGGATCCGATTACTGGCAACTCATTCATTAAGTATCTCACAGAGCGGGGCGGCACAGTGCTTGCAGGTTACACAACCTCCTAAACCAGAAAGTCATGGACATCAATTACAAGAGCGCAGCATTTGTCTTTCCTTTCCCTGTCTTTCGATGAAAACAAAGAGTGAAGGTTGTAATCACTCCATAGTAGAGTCCGTCACTTTTGTGTTATTTGACAGTCGAGTATTCAGTATATGGTGGCAAGGCCTACGAATAATGAAATATAAAATGGATTCTCGCCCTCAAATAGTATATCTCTTCGAACGCCACACATGAAAATATGAGCGAAAACCTTGGGCATGCAGTTTTAATTTCAGCCCATTTTCACATTTACCAGCTGATCTCAGCTATCAGTTAAAAAAAGTGTAATTTCTCAGCTTACAGTGAGGATCTTGACCAATTCTCAGCTTTCCATTAAGCCCCAACCAGAGCCCTCACACGGGATAGGAATATGTGATAGCCTTGTGCGCTAGGCAAACAGAGTGAATTTTGGGTTGTGACAATGACTTACAAATGGCTTTAAGCCATTTTCTGAGTTAAAAACAGTCCAACTGAAGCAATGACTTGGTGAGAAAATTGTCGCGCCCTCCAGAGCAAAATAACGTAAAAAATGTTTCCACCTATATTTAATTGTCCCAACCAGTACTCGAGACTGATGCACACAAAGCTGAAAAGGATTTGAGGTGGAATTCTGTTTCCTTACACTTTTGAACAGATTCATCAGTTTTGTGTAACTAAACCCCAATAACAGGATTCACACTTTAAATAAAGTAAATTCAGAGATAGAAAATTAAGGTTAAAATGTACTTACAGTGAACTACAATTGTTGTATCAACAGAAGTGATTTCCATTGAGTTATTGGCTTGACATGTATATTGTCCTGCATCTGTTCTGTTTATATTATCGAACTTTAAAAACGCAGCTTTCTTCCCTGAACTTTCCAGTTCTCCATTTCTAATCCATGCTACATCCGGCAGTGGTTTCCCAGAAGCTTCACAGGTTATGATAACAGGGGATCCTTCAATGTAATATTTTCCTCCCAAAGAGATGTTTATAAGTGGTGCCTCTGAAAGGTAAAAGTGATTATATCATTGCTCATATGGCTTAGCAAATTTTACTTGGACTGAGTTTTAAAATTTACCCAATTACAATAAAATAAATAGAGAATAATACATGGGCTCGCATAGATATGGAATTTCTCTTCGAGTGTTTAACTCGATCGCACACGAGTGAGCGCAGCGAACGAATGAGATGTCGAGTTGAAAACGAGAAGAGAAACTCCATATCTACATACAAGGTGCTGGATTCTAGATTCTACCCCTGCAGATTCCGGATTCCATCTCAAATTACCTTTTTTAACTTTCCTTTTAAACAAAGACCAAATTAAGGAAAATTTAAACTGAAATACAATTTTTATAACACCTCGTGTATGTCACAAATAATTGCAGACTATGGCTGAGAAAAGCTTGTTTTCCTCTATGTAACTGGCAATGATATTCGACATTATGAGATAGCGCATAAAACGGTGTTCAACCAACTCAACTGTACTTTAACCTTTGCAAAATCGCGAAAGATCTGCATTTACACGGTAATTTTCCAAGAATAACAGATTCTCTTTTCTATATTTCCTTTTTTCTTTAAAAGGTTAACCAAGTCAAGTCACATTACGTGGCCCGCCGCTACTTTCTTTTCTAGAAAATGTTGTTCGACCCTAAAATCTGGTAATATCTTATTTCATTCGCTCCGAGATAGGATGCTTTATGAAATCTTCAAATTTGTTATTCCGAATGCCAAATATCAAAGAAAGCGGTTTACGTTTAAATGGCGAAAATTCGACTTAGAAATAGACCTCTCCCGGCTCCCTTAGGTATCCATATATAACTTTGTTCAAAGTTTATCGTAATTGGAAACGTGTGGTCCGTCGCCATGTTGGTGTTCCAAGCAAATACTGTGGGATTTTAACGCTTTTGTTATGTAAATAATTACTTTTGTCACTCCAAATTTGCATACCTATTGACCACGTGAGTGGACTGCACTCTTTTGGACACCAAATGACGAAATTTTACGAGGTTATTTCGAGCTCTCGTTACCTCGAGCTCACAGGGATTAGCCCGAACTTTATTGGGAAATAAGGTCTTTGAATCGGAGCAGAAGACTCATTAATAGCTAGTAAGGAACTTTAGCTATGTCAGTATCGAAGTCGATTGGGGGATAGGTCATGATGATTTTGTCAGTGTCTCGGGAGCTGTAATAGTCAAAATTCTCCAGCGTACAAAGTGCGTTCTATATGGTCTGCACGGTCTGCAGCATGACCGTGGTTGCATGGATGCGCATGAAAACCGTTGATACGGATGATATGGATTTTCAGCAAATGGATTTCAGCGGGATTCTGGATTCCAATGCCCAGGGTTCCGGATTCCACTAGCAAAAATTTCCTGGATTCGGGAATCCGGATTACAATACCTGGGGCGAATCATTATCACATAACGCTATGCGTGAATAAAAAGTACGAACGAAGCAAAACTGCTCTTTTGAAAGCAGCATTTCCTGAAATGTCGCGCGTAACATTTGTATTCAGTTTCAACCTTATACATCAAAAGCTTCGAATCGCTGACCGTTAAAACCGTTCTCACGACCGATAGACGATGTTCAAATTTCGAGGTGAAGACAGCGATGTGTTCCGTTTCTATAGGACAGGTATCGACGGAATCAAAATTTTGCTCAAGTTACAGGTCACACCACCTCAAATACAAACGGGATTAATTAATGATTCCTAAACACCGCGCGTTATAAAGACATGAAATTCACTTAATTTATCGATGTTATGAGTATCCTCAATGCTGATATAAAAAAAAAAGGCCAATAGAGGATCATGGGGGAGCCCAAAGCAAATCCGTCTTTTGCCACACGACCGTTGTTTACAACATTAAATGTGACCTGTACGATGCAGGTTATGTTGGTTTTACACGCCGCCATGCATCTACATCAACATGTTCAAGAACACAGAAAATCGACTCCATCGATTGGAAGGCATTTTCGCAACAAGCACTCTTTGGCCTTGAGGGATCTTAAAAAGAATTTCAGTGTTTTAAAGAAGAGTACGAACAAATTGGACTGCCTACCTTATGAAATGTTTTTTTATTCAAGAACTGAGACCTGCTCTCAATGTGCAGTCGGACTGAATTCGTGCAAAGGTTTTTAAATAGGCTTTTTTTTAGTATCATGATTGAGATATCACAAATGTTTTCAACTTTGAATCACAGTTAAATGACCAAGAAGTTACATACTTAATATCACACTTGTTTCCATGTACTTATAACGTTGTTAGGACATCCAAGATACTGTGTTCGAAAATGTAAGTTGAAACACTTAGAGAGAAAATTAAAGAGTCTGTTCAAAGAACACTTCGCTTCTGTTTCATACACGAAAATTTCTTGAAAAGTTTAGGTTGCATAAGCTCAAAAAAATGATTCATACTCTAAATTGAAATGGAATACTTTTAGTCCCTTGGAGCTGTTTGCGAAACTCAGCCAGTTTCTCGGTGGGGAAACCAAAATTAGCAATAAAATTAGAGCTGTTGAACTGACCTCCATGAGTAACAGCATCTTCTAGGAACAGCATCCCTACCTTGCCAAGTTGATCATCATTGCATCATTTTCTGTTTGCATGCTCAAAGTATTTCAAAGAGCATAAAGAGCTTGGATTATAGACTTTGTTGATTTGTTGCTTCCATAACTTTTAGGAGAATTTTGCTCCAGCGCATAAATCAAATCTAAGTCTCGGATTGCTCCTTAGTCTCAGAACTTACTTGAGGAAGTCACCGTTCTGTTGACTAAATTTATATCTGTAAACCTTGAAGATCATAATACTCAGAAAGCAGCGAAAGGCTTAATGTCGACTTTCATTCCCTTTGGCAAGTCCCTTTGGCAAGTCCCTTTAAAAGGCTTGAAAAGCAATGCCATTTTTTCCACACCAAATTAATTTCACATGCTGCCTGTGATTGGTCATGCAATATTCTCCTTCACTGATTTAGCAAAATCATAGAACTAGTTGGATTGTTTCTAATGTTGACTGGCCATTTTTAATTGAGAGCTTTGCTAAGAGAAAATCTTATTATTCATATTAATAATAGTTATCTATGCATAACAGAGCAACCCAGTAGTTGGTGCCAGAAGAATGAAGCAATAACTCTTTGAATTCTTTCTCACGAGAATTACAACAAAGTAAACGGTAGAATTTATTTTCTCCTTTTGTTGAGCGTCGCATGCCATATAAAAGTAGCACTATTGTTCCAAAAAGTCGGGTTAGCTGGCCACTTTCAGCCCTGCATAGGGAGGTTTGTGCAAATTTATATGCTATTGTTTACTTTTTCCAGATCTCAGAAATATGAGACGTGAGTTTAATGAATTTGATTTATATTTGATTATTAATGGTTATGTCTCTAATACGTACCTGCCACAATAAGCTGCACTATACTTCGAACATGCCATCCCCATATTTCACATTTAAATTTGGTATTATCTCCAGGGTTGATGTTCTTGATAACCAGGGTAGCTCTTCCTTCAATTTTAACTCTTCCTTTGTAAGATGAAGGGATGGAAGGATGTTCTTGCACACCACGACTGTCCTTAAAAATCATTTTGACAAATGCACTATTTACCAGAACACTGTAGACAATGCCCTGAGTCTTATTATGTGGATCAGTGTAGTCCCACACCAGGTTGGCATTACTACCATTGTTAAAGTAGCTTGGATCAGAAGGTTCCTGGGTGAAACGCACATCCACACTCCCTAAAATAGACAACCATAAACATAATATTCTCAGCCCTTTAGTTACATGTGTAAGGATAATATTTAGGAAAAAGGGCTTAAAATAGAGTTCACCACAAAGGCACTTTTAGAGTAAACAGTAACAACATTAAGAGTAAATATGCACTATATTGGTATTCACTGATATCAATCAGCTCGAAATTTACTTTCTGTTGCTAGGATATAAGGTTCAATAACAGTAGTGTGTAACTATCTGTGCCTTTTGAAAATCATTTTTGACAAGTTGCATTTTCTTTAATTTCCAGACTGTGTTCAGTGGTGAATTCCCAAAATTTAAAAGTCAGTGGAACACTTGAAGAAATTTTTTTAAAAAGAACTTATCAAGGTGAAAAATGGAAAGTAGACATGTCCACACATATTATATGTATCTTAAACCATTGAATGGGGGATTTATTATTCCACTCATTTCATTTTCTAGTCTTTTGGCTTCTTTTTTTGAAAAGTTGTATGGTCTTATCTGAGCATCCTGCCCATCAAATAAGATGTACATGAAAGAAGAAAACAACAGAAATTAAAGAAACCATTTAATGTTCTCAGTGACCGAACAAAATTCTTATTGGCTTTACAGTTCACTGCTGAAAAAATCATGTCTAAAAACTGGAAAAAAAATAAAAGATCACATGCTTCACTTCTGTCCCTATTCTTGCCCTGTTCTACAGTGTATAACCAAGGTATATTTAGCATGTTCCATTGCCCCAACAAGGTAAAATAACATAATAATGAATAAGAATTAAGAAATATTTGCTTAAGGTGGAGTGAATATTATTTATTGATCTTCCCTTCACCTTCAACAAATAATTGTTTAAGTATACAGTAATTGCTCAGGTGCTTTCAAATTCTATTATAAATTCTGTAAATAAAGAAAGCATTGTCCAGATTTTGTTACAGTTGTGTTGATTACCTGTATCAAGATTAGCGAGAAGTTTTAAGAGGCTTTTTGCATTAGATCAGCAAAAACTTCATCCTTTTGTTTAATAAAGTGATCATTTAATATCTTTTGTGCTCTTCACAGTTTAATTTTCTACTATTGCTTTTATCCCTTCCTCACAGATATTTGACAAAATGCGAGGCAGCCATTTTGAAATTTAGTGCTCTTACTATAATCACCCACACATGGTGATTATAGCGAGATATGATGCAATCCTTGACCAATAAGGGATTGCGCATCTCTATAATCACCTGAGCAATTATACTAATGATATTTAATCACTGAAGTCTTCACATAACACAAGTTAAAACAACAACAACAGCAAAAACAATGCAATGATCAATCATGTCATGTGTGGACCATAATGCTTTCTTATCAGAGTCAGAATCTAGAAATTTAAGTCTTTTGTACCATTTTGGAGGAGATTCTACTTTAGTTCCTCAGATTTTGAATGTTAGGAATTGATCAAGCAAAGATTTTGACAAAGATTGCGATCAGTTTGCATGAGGTGAAATCAGAGAGACTTTCACCAATTTTCATGAAATCCAGCTTTCTCTGACGTTATCTTCATAAATTAATTTAACTTGTTTACACCAACAGCTGAATTCTTGTTTTTAACCTTGAAGTCATGATCCTACAGTTGTAAGCACCCAGCAAACATTGCTGCCATTCACTTTCATTCACTTTGGCAAGCCCCCACACCACAAAGGCAAAAAAACCCATACTAATTGTTTTTACTGGTCAAAAATTTCATCTATGACTTGTGATTGGTCAGATGCTCATTTCTCACTTGTGAGGAAAACCATCTGACCTATCAGAATTTGTGCAGCTCATTACAAATCAATTTTTTTTTCCAAATTTAGCTTGGAGTAAATCTCAGTACGTATATTATAAGCCCACATATATACACACATTTCAAAAACTTTAGTCTTAGTAAAACTTTACCTTTTTCTAAATATACAACAAAAATAAGTAGCCCATGATTGAAGGTGTGGGATACCACAACCATATGTGCATAAAGCTTAAAACTGGTCAATTCAATAAACAATTCATACATGTAGGTAATTGAGCAGAGAAAAGCTCAATTATCCAACCAAGTGCATTATGTAGTCTCTTTACATGATTGCTACTTGGAGGAAAAATCACACTCAACTTAACTAGCAGCAAATATTCTTGCTGAGGTCATTCTTTGAACCAATAATGAGTGGAAAATTGTTAATAACTCTTCCCTATGATGAGTAATAGATGGCAATTAAGGAAGAGAGTTTAGGTACAGATGGCAACTCTTTCCTGGGTTTCCACAGCCATCATGTTTGTAATGGAAAGCCACCTGACAAAGCAGGAACTTTTCTCATGGCTAAGAAGACGAATCACACTAATCAAGATTATAGTGCACTTCTTAGTTTCAATGTTGATGTTATATTCTGAACGTATGGTATTGTTACACTTAAAGCATAAAATCCTTTGTTGTTGATTTCTATCGCATCATAGTTATTCAGACTTCATTTATCACGTCATTGAAATTCCAACATCATATCTTAAATTTAAAATACATCAATACATTTGACAAACATCACGTTCAGAAATTAAGGGTCGGCGTTTTCGGTTTCTAAGCTTAAAATAGCACTTGGTAAAAAACACTGTAACATCCTTTGCAGGAGAATAAATTTCACAATTACCTGACCCGTGAAACTTTACCAGCAGAAGAAAGAGTAAGTAAATTTCATGATCACGAACAGACACCATCTTATCAGACCTTCGCTGATGCGTCAATGAGGCAGGTTGCGCCTAAATCTTTCAAAACTCCCCTGAAGGGATAGAAGAAAAGGTCCCTCTTCGCTTTGAGACTGGGACCGAGTGTCACGATCACCCTCGTGAAATTGTCGGCCGTAGTCGGCAAAATTGCCTAAACAACATGGCGGATAGTGCAATTTATGGAAGAAAACTCGATCAAACCTATACACTTGGAACATTTTACATGAATTGTAGAAACTTTCCTTTCAGAGTAACGTTCCATTCAGAGTAAACTATGTGCGAAACTTACGAATGTGTCGAATGAGCGTGACTCAATGGCACCGATATCGATCACGCGCGCGTTATGAAGCTGGATTCTTTTTCAAGGGCCGTATTCCTTGGGCCGGAAACTGAAATCAAGCGGATCACGAGCGAAATAATTACGCAATCCAGACGCGCAAACTCAGTCAGTACATAGCAAGAAGTGCGGGAAAATCAAATCGAATCAATTTTTTAGAGGGTAATTTTCCCCAAGATTACCTCTATCTTGGTATTAGCTCATTCGTGTATCTTCGAACTATGTCATCTCTAAGACTTTCAGTCTTGTGCCGAAGTAAAATCAGCCGAGAAGCCACTGCACGAACACGAAGTGGAAACAACAACTAGCTTTGTTATGTATTACAGCTACGGTATTGGTAAGGGTAAGTCTAAAGTCAGCGGGGCGTCTTACATAAACTCTGCTTACGAGAGGGAATGTTAAATGGAGGGATGCAGGGGTGTAGGGGTTATGGGGAGACCAAGAGGAAAGGGGGATCCAAAAACTTCCAATTGTAGCATTTCATAAAAACCGAAAATGAAATCTACTCTTTATTCTGATTTTTAGAGCCAGGTGTGTAGTGAGGGCGTGAAATTGCGCCTAATACAGGCGCCAATGCGCCTAAATTTTTCACTTTGGCGACCAAATCCTGAAAGTTAGTCGCCAAATTGGCGACTAGAACGTTTCATCATAACCTTACCAAGAGATATAGTGAATTAAAAAGATTTACAGAGATAAATCCGCGGCAAACTTCCTCGTTAAGTTTGTTTCCAAAACGTAGCATCTCGATCGATAACTAGACGCCGATAACTAGATCTCGTCTCGAGCGATAACTAGACGCCATCTTGGATTTAGATGAGCCTGAACGTTGTATATCATCCATCCTAGTGTCCACTTTGTAGCACGTTAATTTTGGAGGGTCTATCTAGAACGCTGACAGCGTAGAGAGATTTTGTTTGTCTTTGAAAATGGCGACCAACTTTTTTTGAATTGGCTACCATTTTGAAGAATTTAGGAGCCAAGTGGCTATCAGAAAAAAAAGTTAATTTCACGCCCTGGAGTTCACTTAATTTGTTGTTGTTGTCGTTGTTTGTTTTTTTTTTGCAAAAATTGGAAAAATGGAATAGAATAAAACATTAAAGCACCATTGAACTTCAATGGCTTAAATTTGGTGGTTAGCCTGAAAAAAGGGGGTTTACATGTGGTTTTCGAAATAATTTTTTAATTGATTTAATAAACATTTATTGAAGAAACATTTGTACAGAACTAAACTTACATTACATTACTCTACTTACATTACTCGACATCACTCCACTTATTACATTACTGTACTTATTGGATTAGTCACCAATACGTATTTCTTACTTATACTAACGGTCACTTACTAACAGTCACTTACAGCGTAATGTTACTTACATTGATTACTAAACAGAACATGACTTACAATACATTACAATACAAAACTCGCAATTCGTTAATTAAGCTCACATGCCTACTTATAATTTCTTGAGTACTTTACAAAACGGCACCTTAGTTACTTTGTACGAACACTACAGAGTAAATTAAGAGACAGTGCTGGTAGAAAAAAAAGATAAGATTTTGGGCTCTGATTTAGTGTGTCTGTTTCAACTGGCTAGTTAAATCAGAAAAAAAAGGCTTCTTGGGGAAATCTTTAATTTAGGGAAGAGCGCATTTCTCTCTTTGCCATTGTAGTATAGCGTGTTTGGTTTCTTTTCTAAACATTTAGAAGTGTAAAAGTATTCTTTTAGAATAATGACGAAAAGATGTAGTCTGCGCCTTGGGTAATCGGTTTGGTGAGTTAAACGTGGGATGTCGTTAAATAAGTTATTAGTTTACTTGAAAGTGTAATGTCGGTGTCATTTTCCTGGTTGAACCATGATATAGCTTTCGAGTAAAACGCTGTTGTTACTGTACAGTCTAAAAACGCATGTTCTATAGAGTCTGGTCGGAAACAAAGAGTGCACTCTTCATCCTCAACTAGTCTGAATTTAAAGAACCCCTCTTTGGTCATTATTATTCTGTGCAGTAACCTGAACAAGAACTGTCTTAATTTATTATCCTTTGTGGATTTATATATGAACGAAAAATTTCTCCCCAATCTGTGAAAAATCAGGGAATTTGTTTTTCCAGTTTTTAATACCAGTCAGCTCGGTGATACAGTTTCCACTGAGAATTTTATAGTAGTTTCTGCAGCGTATTTCTGTTAAATTTAGGGTAGGAATCAATGAAGAAGATATTTAAGTTGTGTTTAACAATTCTTGCGAGGGTACTTCCATTGTGGCAACTTTCTTTTTAAGTCCGATGGAATGGCGGCAATTAATTGAACGTAGTGAAGAAAGTTTGTTTTGATCTCGTAGACGGAAACGTGGAAGAAATATGTGAAACCGTTGCGGAAACACGACAGTTAGCAGGCGTTTCCGCTGTCGGTTTGATGAAGTTTACTCGTGTTTCCATTGCTGCGGTCACAGCGGAACCGTACCACTTTTCTATATGTTTTCGTCATCAGACCTAAACGTTCACGGAAATACAAAGTTACGTTCCGGAAACACGTTTTTCTCTTGTTTCCGTTGAGGTAATCAGACAGAATGTCGACGGAAATACCAGTTTACTTTTCGGAAACAGATTTTTCTCTTGTTTCTGCTGACGTATTCAGACCAAGAGGGGACTGAAACACTAGGTTTTGTTCCAGAAACACTTTTTTTTCTTGTTTCCTCTATATATTGGACTCTTTCAGTACTCGTTATTCTTGATTTTCCTCTTTCATAACAGGACAGGTAAATATGTTGTGATCGTGCGGTTTTATACAACCCATAACAGACTTTTACCGTCCGTTTGCGAAATCTATGCTCCACTCTGTAAAATACAAGAGCTATATTTTTTTCACAGGTTCAATCAATTTATTTTATTATTTTCGTTTTCTTCAATCGATCGACCGGTAACAATTAATTTTTTTTTTATTTAAAAAGTACGTATATATTCGCTCGTCGTCCTCGTCATTTGAACATAACATGCATGAAATTACTTTCTTAGCAAATGAACATTAAAAAAAATTTACGGCTGGTATGTATAAAATTTCAAATGTTCTGGAAATTTATTGAATTAGTCGCTGCGTACAGTCCAACGAGGGCCGTTAGTTGGGTGAAGGCGTGGTGATTCATCCTCAGTCCGGTTCACACGTGCACTTGTGAACCGTTGCTTCTCAGTTAGTCCGGCCAAATACGCCTCATCCAGTTTCTCTTCAATATTCCTCAGTTTGCTCTTCTCCCATGAAAGCTTTCTGATCTTTCGTGGTTCTGGGCCACTCCTTGGTTCTACTGCTTCGTCTTCGTAGCTTTCCTCCGACGACATATAGTGTAACGCGTCTGGGGAAGACAGAATTTCTCGTGCCCTTTTCTTGTCTCCATCAGACAGCGCTGTCGAGTTTTCCAAACAAGAAAGTCATCGATAGAGTTTCTAAAAATAAATGATCGGGACAGGTGAGAATCTTGTCAGAGCACTACTGAGAAGTCAAATCATTGCTAAAGCTCCCATAACTGCCATTTCAGTAACATGATTTTAAGGAAAAGCTCGATTTTGAGGTTAAGCTAACGCTTGAAATAGACAAACGACACGAAAATCAGCTGCCTCAAGCTCGAGAAGAAAACCATATTGACATTGTAGCAGTTGAACATCAGCGTAGTGGTTTCCTACGCTTATCGAGTGTTCTCCCAACCTCCCGCATGTTTACATCAGGCTATGTAAACACGGAAACCATTTTACATTTCTTCAATATCACACAAGCAATCTCGTCGGGACGTAATTGTACATCATCGTACTCATGGGTGAATTTGACTTGTTATTCAGCATACTTAGATTTGCTGTATGTAGATTATGACGCTAATCTTAATTTTTTACAGGAAAATGTACACCACTAAAATAAATGGCAGCATGGACAACCATGCATCTGAGCACCCTCTCAACTGATCTCACCCTCTAGTATACTCCGAAGTTACAGATAACCAGCTTCTATGGGAATTAATCAAGATGGAGTTATGCACAAAAAATATAGGATATTCAAGTAAATCTTTATTGGCCAAAACGTTAGAATTTGTATTTTTTTTGTTCTATGAGAGCCGTTTTGAAAGTGCTCTGTACAGGCAATCGAGCCTCTCAAGTAGGTCAAAATAGATTGCGAGCAGTCTCTTTGCTCTAACATCAGGGGCAAAGAAAATGAAAATATTGAAAGCGTGCGTTACACTTCTTCCGGCGCCAGCTTAACTTTGCTAGTACTTTTACTTATATTCTTGTTTGTCCTCACTGGCTTTACTTATAGCGAAAGAGAGACTGCTTGTGAGCTAAGGTCAAATTTTTTGTAAAGTCTATTTCTTGTAACTCTTTCTGAAGAGCCTCTTCCTTGTTTCTTAATTTACATCTTTTCTCTTTTGAATATCCTATATTTTTTGTGCATAACTCCATCTTGATTAATTCCCATAGAAGCTGGTTATCTGTAACTTCGGAGTATTTTCTTAATATTTGTGGATAGTAGAATCAGTTCTTTATGGTTATTGTCTTCCAACAGTGTGTTGTTAAATTTCCATAAACCTGGACCTCTATTGAACTCACTTTTAAAGCGGATACTTAAGAAGATCGCGTTATGGTCTGGCGCTGTCGAAATTCGAATTTCCGCTTGTCTAACATCGCAAAAAAGCGAGCGCGGAATAAGAAAGTAGTCGATCCTCGATTTTAGGTTCAACGATTTTGAAATGTAAGTAAAGGATTTAGACTTTGGATGCAGTTCACCATAAACATCAGTAAGGTTTAGTTCCTCCATGAGAGCTACGAGTGTATTTCTACCGCTTG